CCACTGGTCTCTCCACTGGTCTCCTCGAGAGGATTCAGCCATGAACTTGTTTGGTTTTACAAGAATGAACGTTGTAGGATCTAAATCCTGTTGATACTGGTAGTCTGACTTTGCTGTCATTTTCCTACTTCATCAATTTACTCTGAAAAGTTCGTATTTTTAGTAGTCTGGACTTGAGAAATTTACTTGGTGTTGATTCAACTTGGGTTTTCTATGGCAGCTGAAGTAGAAAATACAAATTTTGTAGCTTAACTACTATAATCTGATCTTATCAGATATTGATGGGAGCAATCATATTTTTTGATGTCTGTGCAATTCATCTAATTGTTATCGACAATTTTCACTCAGTCATATAATCCACCTCCACTTATGTGTGTCTAGTCTGCTACCTTAACCAAATAGTAGTAGTACTTGAATATTAAGAACATCTTCATTCTGACAGATTGTGAACTCAACCCCTTGTAGGTATTTTTTCAGGAAATGCAGTCAAATTCATTGTACAGATGCATCACTTTTGTCATCCTGCTATGATTGGATTGTTGATCCACAGGAGTTTTGGCATCTTGCTGAAGGAGCTACGTTGATTAGGATTAGTGGTGGGTTTGTAAGGCGATTAGGATTTTAGTGGTGGGTTTGAGTTTGATTTTGACGGCGAGTTGTTCTAATTTTGTTATTATTGGTATGGGTATGGTTCATAATCCTATTTTGATCCATCTATTCTTGCCTAGACTACAATTGTCTCGTTAAACATGATACTCTCCGTAGATCTTCATTACCTTCTGTTCCTCTTTTTTCTTGTAAATGCATCTGTGTGGTTTCTCTGTTTTCTCCTAATTAATTTGCATGCATATAAATAACCAGTTGGCTAGTTTGTTGTAATAGTTGCACAGGAACGCAAACGTAGTTGGATGCCGCATATACATATCTCAGTTGGCTAGCCAACTTATGAAGTTGCATAGTGAGGGCTAACCCGTTGCACAATCGATGGTATTTAGATGGATACACTTTGTAAACCATGTTCAAGCAGTGTGTATGTGGTTTATTTTATTGCACACTCATGTGTGCCCTGCTGCCAAGGATATGCGTTCGTACAGGAGTATCTAGATCAAAGCAACATATATCCTAGTTAGCTTAGCCACACTTATGCAGTTGCACAGGGAAGGGCTATCTAGTTGAACGGTTGTCAGCTAGTTAGTTTTGGCTCCAGTGCCTAAATCATGTTTAGGCAGTATGTATGCTATTTTTTTGGTTGCACACTCATGTGTGTCCAGTTGGTCATACAGTGCATCAAGTTGCACACATTTTTTTTATTTTGTAGGTGTGCTTTGAAAAATCAACATACGTTGCTTACCTCATGGAATTTTTTTATATCAATTGTTTTTGCTCTCTTTTTTCTTTTATACATCTGGTTCTTTGACTAATTTTTTCGTTTGCTTTTTTTCACAGACCAAAAATGGTTGTAGAAGGAGATGCGGCTCTACTGAAGGAGAGGTATCCTCAACTTTTCAAATAGTTGCACAACAGTATCATATGAGTTGGCATCCTCAAGTTTCATAGTTATGCCAAAACCATTTGGGAGTGGACTGTCTCAACTTTTAAAATAGTTCCACAACTATCACATGAGTTGGCATCCTCAACTATTTTAGTTGCACAAGAACCAATCAGGAGTTGGCATTTCCAACTTTTTTTAATAGTTGCACAACAATGTCACTTGAGTTGGCATCTTCTACTCCTTTAGTTGCACAAGAACCATTCAGTAGTTGGCATCCTCATGTGTTCACATGCATATGATTTTCTAGGTTTGCACATGCACTTGAATGTAGTTGCACTACTTATGTGTAAGATTATAATATTTTAAAATTCACTATTTTTTCCATTTCTTGTGTTCAGACGGGCTAAATACATCCTATTCATCAGTTCAAAATTCATTATGTACTTGCACAAACATGCAACATGAATTGCATGTAGGAGTACTTGCAGTTGCATAAAATAGATGATGTAGTTGCACAATAGCCAGCATAAGTTTTTTTCTGAATTTTGCATACATAATTTTGAGCTAAAACCATACTGAATTTGAAAATATATGAGTTGGCATCTTCAACTTTTATACGAATTGAAGATGCCAACTACTAAAATTCAAACCCCACAAGTAGATGGATATAGATTGTTGTCAGTTGCACACCTGTGCTCGTTAAGCTGGACAGATACAACCTAGAGTTGGTTCATTTCTCACAGGCTTCTTTTTGCATCATGTTCAGGTTTTGCAAGTTATGGGGGTGGAGGAGCTGTTGTAGATTTGTGCACATAATTCTCAGCTACAAACACACATATACTACTGTGTGGAAAGGTCAAAGGAAAAAAGAACACTTGCAAACCAGATTCTTGTCTAGTAAGTAGTTGTGTTTTCATAGTACCTACAACATACTTTTCTTTTCTTCCTTTTTTTGCTACATGGATGTCGGTTCTTTTGGATTTTGTGTGAAATAAGACTCTATGCGCTCTCATATATATTTGCACATTTTCTGCATTTTGTTGCACAAAGTGCTACAAATGTTGGCTTGTCCCATGATGTAGTTGCACAAAAATTAGTTAAAATTGAATAGGTACAAAACCTCCCCGTTTTCACCTATGAAGAAGCTTTTTTTGGGAAAGAGAAATTTGGTTAGGGAAAAGGAAAAGTCTAGGAGGGAGGATCTGAACATGAGGAGAAAAGGATCTCCTTTTTTTCACCCCTACTGGTGCTACCTGGTACGTTCTGATCTGTCCTCCCTCTTCTTTTTTTAAAGCAAATTGTTCCATATCGCTGTTATTTCACTTTGATTCATCTACCATGGCAGCTCTAGCGATGCAGATCCAGACCTGGGAAACCATTGTTTCATAGGGAAGAAGGTGGGACAGGTAAGGGCGTGGGAAAGAAGTGGCCAGGTGGCGTGAGAGCTTCGGGAGGGGAGGGGAGGGAAGGGCACGTGATGGCCTCGGGACCGCGTCAGCGCGTGGTTTGTTGGGTTCACACGAGGCTGTTGCTACAGGGGGAAGCCCGGGGAGGCTTTCCTTTTCTGGGATCGGGGGGACCAGATCTTTCCTTTTCTGACGGCCGCTCGAGTGTGCTAGCGGGCCAACGGCCGCCCGCTAGACACGTCCCTTCTTCTTTCCCTGGCCTTACTCGGCCCAGAACCAAAGAAAAAATGTAGAATTTCTTTTCTTTGAACCTATCGGTTACAGAATGTGCATACCTCCTGAGCAAAGTCTAGGGTTCCTCAACGGCGCAGCCGCCACCGCAGCACCAGACTTTTGGTCAACACTCACACTGCAGGGTGGGGGGGCCACTTATCTTCAAGAGTTTCAAGTTTTTCATTAGCGTCTAATAATCTTTGTTATTTTTTTGCAAAGATAGTGATCTTTGTTTTTATATGAAAAATTGAAAGAACTCTATCTTTTGGCGGTGACAAAAAGTTAGAGAGTTTCTATCCTCACAGGTTCGATTATTCGCTAATGCATTTATATTAGTAATATGTCAAGCTTTTTTTGTTAGTTTGATTTTCCATGGAGGTGATCGACACCAT